CTTAACTGCCCTCAGAGAGAGGCCTCTTCTCCAGTCCCCACCCTCTCACTGCTCTGGTGGCAGGGACCTGTCTGCAGCCGGTGCCCCATCCGGTGGGAGTTACGGGCACTTTTATTCCTTCAGAGGCTTGTTTCAACCTTGCTGCCCCATCACTGCTTGCAAGGAGAGATGTTCCTGCTGGCCACAAACATCTGCCATTTATCGCAACTTTAAATTACTCGGATTTCCTGCTGGCCACAAACATCTGCCATTTATCGCAACTTTAAATTACCCAAGAGAATGACAGCTTGAGAGTCTCCTGCTACGGCACACAGGGGCTGGGCGCCCTCTCTCATTGAACTTGCACAAGACAGAAATGCCCGGAAACGGAGGTGTATTGCCAGCAAAGCATAATCTGAAAGCTCTGCGCTAGGCTGTCAGATAGGGACCAGGCCTTGAGGGAAGCTGCACTCCCATACACAACACTGCCACACAACCACTTCAGGGGGGAGAGGAGGGAATTATTTGTGTCCCCAACAGAGCAACTTTCACTGTTTCTACTGGGTGCCAGATTGATCTCTTCCTCATTCTCTCTTCCTCAAACTGATTTCTTCACCCTGTGACCCATCTTTCTTCCCCTCCTTTGCCTCTTGTTCGACCCTCTCTGGTTTCACATGTAGCCCCCTAGAATGCCCCCTCCCCTGTATTGTTGCTTTTACTGTTTCACTTCCTTGATCCTGCAAACATTTATACATAATTTTAATAAAAAAACTAATAATTGAAGTCAATGGGTCTGGTGACATAAGTCAAGTTACTCACATACCTAAATATTTACTAGATGAGGTCTAAAACCATAAACTGATGACACAATCGCTATCAAATGCACATAGTAAATAAACTGGGGAAAATGGAGAAAGTTCTTTTTTCTTTTTGTTACAATAATTCTAAGTGTTATATGTAACTGTAGAAGGTCTACAATTTCAGACAGAAATGTGGTTTTTTTCCCAAAGTTATAGGTGCCCTTTTAAAAAGCTTTTCTTTGGAAAAAAACATCTAGGCATGTCAGTCATTGCTAGTCTAAAAAGTACCGTAACCTGTTCTCTATATTGAAACAATTTTGCAGTGTGTTTAAACTCAAAAAGAAGCATTGTTTATCATGTCAGAAAGGGGAACAGAAGTTAGAAAATTCAGCAAAGTGGTTTCTAACTTGATGCTTTGATCTTTAACAAAAAATAGACCATATATGTGTTGAAAGAGGAGTCCCTGATTCATTGACAGGATATTATAACTATTAGACTGACAGTAGCTAGAGATCCAATAGTGCTTGCAGTTTATAGTTTTACAGTAATGTTGATAAGAACTGCAGTGTATATGGTTCATTTAATTATAATGAATGTGATGGGGGTATCCACTTCAAATAAGCCCTGGAAGTAGGGCTCCTGACAGCTCCCCTGGGCAAGGTGGGGAGGGATTGGTTCCGTGCTCCTGGAAGGGGCAGGCCAGGAGGAAGCCAGCTCTCTGCACTGCCCATAGTACTGCCTGGAGCACACAGCACAGCACAGCACAGCACTCCAGGTAGTGATTTAAAGGGCCCGGGGCTCCAACAACTGCCACAGTATTGGCAGTGGCTGGGAGCCCTGGGCCCCTTTGAACCGCCGGGCCCTGGGGCAACTGTCCCCTTTATCTCCCCCCTTGTCCATTGCTGACAAGCCTGCCAGGAGGTGTTAAAGTGACTAGTTGGATCAATTAACTCTCCCAAGCTCCACCTTGAGGAGCAGGGAATAACTGGATGGGAGCAGAAGGGGCCTCTATAAAGCCCAGAAGCTGAACAAGGGGGAGGAAGTCACTGGGGGTGTGTCTAGACTACAGGGTTTTGTCGACAAAAGTGGACTTTTGTTGACAAAACTAAACCTGCGTCTACATTACCGCTGAGTTCTGTTGACATAACGTCGACAGAACTCAGCAGTTTTGTCAACGCTGGTAAACCTCATTTTACGAGGAATAACGCCTTTTGTTGACAGAGTTCTGTCGACAGAAGGCGTTATTGCATCTAAACTGTCCTTTGCGTCTACACTGCCATGTCGCCAAAGCAGCTTGCTTTGTCGACAGAACTGAATGTAGTGTAGATGCTCTTTGTCAACAGAAGCTTTGTCGACAGTATCTGTTGACAAAACTTCTGTCGACAAAAGCCTGTAATCTAGACGTACCCCAGGGCATGCAGTAAAGTTTCCCACAGTGCATCACAGTCCAAGGGCTACAGAAGCCACATTTGGGAGTGAGTGCCAGGTACAGCGGGATTTGGTTATTTTGACCTGGATCTGCACACTACAGTATGGATGCCAGTATCCTCCCCAGGAGAAGGGTGATGTGGTTGGGGCTGCAGATGTGCGTATAGGTTCTTTTGGGCAGAAAAACTCAGGGAAGGACAGAAAGGTTCAGGGGGGAAGCAGAGAGATGTGAGACAGGGCAGACCCTGGCTGCTTATGAGAGGGCTGCTGAGCTGGAACCTGAATTAGCAGGTGGGTCTAGGTTCCCCTATCAGTCTTCCTCCCCAGGAGAAGGGTGATGTGGTTGGGGCTGCAGATGTGCGTATAGGTTCTTTTGGGCAGAAAAACTCAGGGAAGGACAGAAAGGTTCAGGGGGGAAGCAGAGAGATGTGAGACAGGGCAGACCCTGGCTGCTTATGAGAGGGCTGCTGAGCTGGAACCTGAATTAGCAGGTGGGTCTAGGTTCCCCTATCAGTCTTGGGGGATGGTATCTATCAGGCAGGGCAGTGTGGACTGTCAGGGACAGTTTGTTATGGAAACAGTTTGTCCAGTGGGGGGAAACATGTGTAATGATCTGTTTGGAGGACCAACTTGTGAAGAAGGCTCATGTGATGGTGCAAAGGCCAGTGAAGAAACTGCTAAAACCCCTGAAGGGTGCAAATCCTCAGAACTGTGAGGAGGAGGTGCCCTTAGTAGTTAGTGAATCCTGGCTGTGACAGTGAATGATGTTCCAGGTAGAAGTACTTACAATTAAAGCTGCTTAACGGTTTCAATTTTAAAAAAAGTTTTCAATTGCTTATATAAGTCTAGCAAACTCACACATTTTCCATGCCAGGTGTCTGCCTGAGGTGTGTGTGTGTGTGTGTGTGTGTGTGAGAGAGAGAGAGAGAGAGAGAGAGAAGATGTGTGTGACAGAGAGAAAGAGAGAATATATGAGATGAAGTAATAATACATTGTTTTGCCACAATGTTAAATAAACCTCTTAAACTTCTTAACTCAGGGCTGTCCCTACTCCATACACAAAAACACAGCCATGTAGAGCATCACAAAATGTGGGGCACCAAATTGCCCCCAATTGCATGATGCCCTAGGCAGCCCCATGCTGTGTATGGGCCCCAGCTGCCCCCATCCCATCCCATCCCCTGGCTCCTTGCCCCTAGTTCAATGCTGGTCTGACAGCCTCCATCTCCCAGTCACCCCCTTTGGCTTTGTGCCAGTC